GCTGTAGTTTGTCTCCTTTGTCTCAGGTTGTCCCCTGCTTCCTCCTGAAGCTGTAGTTTGTCTCCTTTGTCTCAGGTTGTCCACTACTTCCTCCTGAAGCTGTAGTTTGTCTCAGGTTGTCCTCTACTTCCTCCTGAAGCTGTAGTTTGTCTCCTTTGTCTCAGGTTGTCCTCTACTTCCTCCTGAAGCTGTAGTTTGTCTCCTTTGTCTCAGGTTGTCTCCTGCCTCCTCCTGAAGCTGTAGTTTGTCTCCTTTGTCTCAGGTTGTCCCCTGCTTCCTCCTGAAGCTGTAGTTTGTCTCCTTTGTCTCAGGTTGTCCCCTATTTCCTCCTAAAGCTGTAGTTTGTCTCCTTTGTCTCAGGTTGTCCCCTACTTCCTCCTAAAGCTGTAGTTTGTCTCCTTTGTCTCAGGTTGTCCCCTACTTCCTCCTGAAGCTGTAGTTTGTCTCCTTTGTCTCAGGTTGTGCCCTACTTCCTCCTGAAGCTGTAGTTTGTCTCCTTTGTCTCAGGTTGTCCCCTACTTCCTCCTGAAGCTGTAGTTCGGTGACAACAGCTCAGTACCGGATCAGCAGCCATGGCTCAGCAGAGAGGAGTCAACAGCCTGCAGTTCAACCAGGACCAGAGTAAGCTTCAATTTACCGACTTGAGACCATAGTTGTTACATAAATGTGTCCAGTAAGCTGAACATTTTAGGTAATTGTGAGTGTATATGTTGTATTTTGATGAGTAACTTGTGACCATGCATTGACTGATTGGGAAGTGGATGTCCTTTTTCTTTCTGTTGCTGAGACCTGTCGTGCAAAACAAGCTCACCAGTCAGTGTTATTAACAAGGACATGTATGAATGTTCTGCTATAGTTATTTAACCAAAGAGAAGCCTCTAATGTTTGCACATCATTTCTGATTTTTGCCAATAAATCGGCTGTGTATTTCATAATCAGTACAGTACTCCATGTGGTCTGTATTGATTATAGAGAGCCATAAGTGGGGTTTTTTAAGTTTGTTACATACGTAAAGATTTTGTTTCTTATACATTAACCTTGCCCCTACCAGTTATTAAATATATATTGTTTACCAGTCAGAAGCAAAGCCTCACTTCCACACTTTGTTTGCTAAATGATGCATTTAATTTGTCTTCTTGTGCTGTGAATTCCAATGTGTCTGCAGCTTTAAGAAGAGTCTTAGTAAAAATGAATAGACTCATAAAAAATAAGCAATTAATGTTTTCCCTTTTATCCTTGATAGGCTGTTTTTGTTGTGCAATGGAGACGGGGGTCAGGATTTACAATGTCGAGCCACTGATGGAGAAGGGCCACCTGGGTGAGTCTGTTTCCTGCCGTCAAATTCTTTCAGACAACTTTTGTTTCTCCAAGGTTGTCTGTTTGCAACGTCAACTCTTACTTGTTTTGTTGGTGATTTTTTAAACGCAGTGTATTTCGCAGTCATATTTATGTTTTCAAACTATTTTTAAGAACAAATTATAATCTAAACAGATTATGTTGGGTTGTTTTTGCAGACCATGAACAGGTGGGCAGTGTGGCTCAGTGCTCCATGCTGCATCGCTCCAACCTGCTCGCCATAGTTGGAGGTGGAGTCAATCCCAAATTCTCTGAAATATCTGGTACGTTAGATCACAGAGGAACATCTCTATATCTGGAAACATCTTCCAGATATGTTTTGTAAATGATCTTGTGAATGTAGTGAAGGTTTCGTAGGTTTTATTTTCTCTTTTTGTTTTCATTCTGCTGACAGTATTTTACTGAAAGGTGACTTTGAACATTTATCATCATTTTAGTTCTGATCTGGGACGATGCTCGAGAGTCAAGAGACCCCAAAGAAAAACTGGTTTTGGAGTTCACCTTCACCAAACCCGTTCTGGCTGTGCGCATGAGACATGACAAGTGAGTTTCATCTGCTCTGTGTCTTTGTGTAGTCGTAATAAATGCATAAATAATCGTAAATAATCCTTCTTTTTTTAGGATCATTATTGTGTTGAAGAACAAGATCTATGTGTACAGTTTTCCTGACAACCCTGTCAAACATTTTGAGTTTGACACCAGAGATAACCCCAAAGGTGACAGCTCTCTTCTTCTGTAAATGTGTTTTTCCTTCACATTGCTCTGATTTAACCTACGTTGAACTTCTTCTTTCAGGTCTGTGTGATTTGTGTCCCAGTCTGGAGAAACAGCTCTTGGTCTTTCCAGGTCACAAATGTGGCAGCCTGCAGCTGGTTGTGAGTTACAGATTCTTGGAAACAATTGCACCTTTTAATAAACTGTTCAAATATTAACATAACCCGTCCCTTTCAGGACCTGACCATCACCAAGCCCGGTACATCTTCTGCCCCGTTCACTATAAACGCCCACCAGAGTGAGATCGCCTGCGTGGCCTTGAACCAACCGGGCAGCGTCGCAGCTTCAGCTTCCCGCAAAGGGACCCTCATCCGGTTGTTTGACACGACCACCAGAGACAAACTGGTGGAGCTGCGCAGAGGAACCGACCCGGCCACCCTCTACTGGTATTCACTAAGTGAAGGCTACAACGCATATGATGAAAACTATCCAGCTTCATGTTCTGTGTTTATTCTTTCAGCATCAACTTCAGCCATGACTCGTCCTTCCTGTGTGCCTCCAGTGACAAAGGCACTGTCCACATCTTTGCTCTTAAAGATACCAAACTTAACCGCCGCTCAGCGTGAGAGCTTCACCCTTTGCTCACAACTTTTGTTAACCCTCACACTGCTTCTTAAAACCAGTCACGTCTTTGTTTCTCTGTTTCTCACAGCCTGGCACGTGTTGGGAAGGTGGGCCCTGTGATTGGTCAGTATGTGGACAGTCAGTGGTCGCTGGCCAGCTTCACTGTGCCTGCCGAGTGCGCCTGCATTTGTGCTTTTGGAAAGAACACATCCAAGAACGTCAACTCTGTCATCGGTGAGGCAACATATTCTAATATTAGTGTTCTTTTGTTTTGCTTTTGTTTTGCTGAGCATTGATAGGTATTAATTACTGCTGTCACCCACTCCCGCTCATTTAAACTTTATCTAACATTACATTAAACAAGTTTTCAAATATAAGGGCAGCTGATGGCTTAATTTTGTGTAAATTATTACAAAACCTTTTAGAAATTCACATTTGCTTTCAACATGTAGATAAAAAATCAAAGTTTTACACCTTGCCAGTTACAAATGTGGACAAAAGAACATGAGATATCTCAAAGTTTATCATTTTAATCAGAAGAAAACATACATTGGTTTAAAAATTTGAATATCTAAATGAAAATCCATTAAGATGTTTACAGAGTGCTGCATACAGCTGCATCTGATGGATGTACCATATTTTCCACCGTACACGTTGTACCACCCTATAGGTCGCATCAGTCCAAGTATGACTAATAAAGTGGAAAAAATACATAAGTA